GACGAAATTGCGATTCCAGAGAGCAGGCGCGTGTGCAAATTGATACGGAGCTCTCTCGGGGCATTCAGGGATTCCGAGTTCGTGAACTTTGCGAAGTTCAGCCTGTCGGGTGACCGAAGGGTCTATAGAGAGCCTGGAAGATCGCTTTCAGACGCGAACGATAATTTTGACGCGCGCGCTTTAGGTCTTGTTTGCGTGATCGAGTACGGATTAAGCCGTTCAAACGTGCTCTTTGCTTGTCGGCCGGCTGACACGAGCAGCTTTATGCCGCCAATCGCGGCTTTACGAGCGAACGAAAGGACGGAATAAAGGGCGAACGAAGCGGCCGAGGAATTCCACCGGTCGGCGCTCCGTTCCTTTGATACACACGGCCGTTTGAGAATGCAGGTCAGGGTTGGCGGAAGAGGGACAGAACTAACTTCTGCCGATGGTACCGGTAGAGGCGGCGGTGATACAGTGTAGGTGGCGGTGATGTGCGAGAACGTGCTGTACAGGGTGATCCGGAAGGATGCCGCCTCACACCGAGAACGTTAGGGGGAGCGTGTCAGGTGACGGGGTTGCGAGACGTTCGCACGAGGATCCCGAGAACCCGGGAGTACGCGAAATGTTAAGGCTCGAGAGCGAGTTCGACAGTAGTCCGACGGATCGAAAGTCTGCTAAATTGACGGCGGAGAATCCGAGAATGCGAGAATTCGGACATTTACCGCCACCGGCATGGTTTCTCCTAGATTCGTCGAATCTTTGGATTCTCCTGTTCCAAGACTTTCTAATCCTACAGTCATTGTCTGATGTCGCGAAAGACTTGAATGTCTGAGAATTATAGGTTCTTTGAAAACTTTTCGAATATAAATACTTTACAATTGCGAAACCTAAGGATACAGCAAGAATCTTAATATGTTTGAGTTGAAAACGTGGATTTTCTAAAACTCTTTGTGAGATCTACGATTTTCGTATCCTTGAATTCTGTAATCCTTGGGTTTCTTGGACAAAGAAGTGAAGGTTAACTTCTTGATAGAGATTAGAACATCTCGCGATTAGAACATCTTGAATTCATGCAACACAAATTAACTCGTATTCCCATGTCCTGACACACTCCGGAGCTTCTCAGTATACAATCCTGTACATTGCTGGTGTCAACTACTGGTGGGTGAGCTACGCATGTTGCACGTACGCACGGTGAAATACGCAATGAACGGCATATAAACGGGGATCGTTCGGAGAAAGTCAACCGTCTTTCGTGAGACTCCACTGAAGGAAATCGCGTGGTCCGCGTCTAGAACGGAAGCACACGCCATTTACATTCGGTGGCTGTTCCCGGAAGTTTGTCGAGACGTTTGCAAAACATGAAACTCCGAAAGTTGTAAGTTTGTTCACGCTCGCTGAGTCTGCTTCTTGTACAAGACACCCGCCTTCTTGTCACAATTATATGGTGGTGAGATATTAGGTGCCATTTCTCGGCGCGCCACGATTATAATTTGTATTCACGTACGCGTACTCCTATTGTAATTCCGGAAACAATGGCGATCTTTCTCATTCCGACATCTTATGAGCAAATAATAAAAAGAGAGCGACCGAGCTCTCATAAGCTTTTAGCTTTACTTGTGCCAATTGAAATCTTAAATTATTTTTCGTTAAAATTGTAGCTATTTGTGAGCAAATTACAGATATCCAAGTATCACCACTTAGGAGAAAATGCGCCTCACCATCTAGGAGAAAATGACATAAAAAGATACGTATTTTATCAAAATAAGTGGTATTGGTAGGATCCTTATAAGAAACATACAAAAAATGTTGCAAGAAATGAAAGAGATGAAAGTTTTTATCAATAAAAAAAATATATATATATATATATAACGAATTATAAATGTTAATAGTATTTATTAATTTAGGGTGACTTTTATTAAATCCCGATTAACTCAATCGTTGGTTAATTGTGGTGATCAATAGACAATTACTATTGCTATTTGCTGGTTACTATGGAATTAATTGACGATTTAATTAATCGGAGCTTGATAAAAGTTAGATTAAATTAATAAATATTATTAGCATTTATAATTCGTATTATTTTATTGATAAAAACTTTAATCCTTAATTTCTTACATTTTCTACATGTTTTCTGTAAGGAAAATCCTGAAAGGGAAAAATCCTAATAATACCATTTATTATTTTGACAAAATACGTGTCAGTTTCTCCCAAACACGTTACGACGAAGCGCATTACTTTGATACTTATACATCTTTAATCGATTTATAAAGAGCTGCAGTTTTATCAAAAAATAATTTAAGACTTCGGATGCAAAATGGGGCTAAACTTGGCCGCACTCTTTGTCGCAACGAAATATTTATACTTGCACTTTATTCCGCTGCAGAAATTAGCGATCGAGGATGTTAGTCCCGCGAAATGACATAGATGAACATGATTACAAACTTTCTGCTTTGCGTGCAGCCAACAGAAGGAAAATGAGAAGATGTTACTCTGGATTTTCTTGGGATCTAGCCAGAAAAATGCACGCATAAGGGGCTTAAAAACATCGCGTAATAAATCCGGTGCATTTTTGCCGAAATACCGGAAGCACTCGCGCGAAATGTTGCTCACGCGCGCGGAAAGCTGACGGTGAAATATGTACAGCGCGAGGTCAGATATCGGAAAGCGTTTTTATGTCCAACAAATAAAGACCGAAAAGTTACAAATACCAGCAACTAAGGGCTTGCGCGATGTCAAAAAGTTTTCGGTATTCGTTGGATTAATTCCAAATTCGGATAATGGAATATTGACTGTATTTTTTCTGTTTCGTCGTAGGGAGGAATCGATAATTTTTGCACTTAATTTGTTCACAAATACGATGACGCGCAAGCGGAAAATAATTAAATATCCAAGTTTCATAACTGAATATTCATCGCGCACGCGTGATAAATATTAAAACACTTTTCAGTGGAATAAAGTTAATGAAAAAGAAGTTAAAGAGATTAAATACACAAAAGTTCCGCTTTTTATCATGAGTTGCAGCTTTTGTGCGAGAATGTTCGCAACGGTTTACGAGCTTCTAGCTTACTTGCAATTTGAAAATACAATGCATTAGCATTTTCCAGCACGGTTGCCGTAATGCGGCTTCAATTTTGCGGACTTTTCGGCACGTGCCAAGAGGCGACCCGAGTTTCTCAGGCTTGTGCTAATTTTACATTGGATATTGTTTGGGAGAATTCTTACAAGGCACCTTAAGGGAAAATCTTATCGGCGCCCATGAGAGGGCGGGTGGGTAAATTGTATGCGTCGCGCTGGACAAAACTCGCGAAAGTTTCGCGCGTCGCGCTCGGTCGAGCAATCTTTTTCGACGATTCGCGATTTTGGCGTCACCAAACTTGCGCGACGGAAATTTCCGCTCGGCCGTACACACAGAGACGTCGGCGAGGGAGAATTTTATTATTTCGCGCGGATGTGTCGTATTTCGCCGTTTACTGCGGAAGCGCGCATCGTGCGAGGAATGCAGCGGCGTAAAGCGCAGATTGTTACGATCAATATTTGCCAGATGCACTTCCCTTAACGTGAACCGAAAGCTCAGGAGAGCTCTCGCGATTTTATCGCGGATATCTTTGTTTTTTATGCCTTTTATATTTTTATACCTTCGTACATGTTTTCGTTCGTGTCTCTTGGAATTTAAGCGCACATTCCCGCCGCGCGTGTTGCGCAACGGCGCGTCTCGCACTTCCCAACGGGAATTGGCACTGCGTTCAAAATACCCCGTGCGTACTTGTCGGGAGAAATTCGAAATTAGTTACTCTCTCGCGTAACTCCCTCTGGAAGTCATATTTTCAACACTATCCGCTGCTGTGCCGACAGCTCTCTCGGATATTTTTCACACACGGAGTAGAAAATTGCGAAACAGTTTTTCGGGGAAAAATGAAAAAGCGCACGGATTAACACGTTCCCTCGATCGCTAACAGTACATCGTATTATAGTCGTATAATAGCGTTTGTCTAAATTTCCGTTGACTAAATTTCCTTTCATGGCATTCGCGTGTCAGCGTGAGTGAAATCATGTCATCCAACGCAGAGGGCTATAAAAGGGAAGCCCGCGCGCGAAAGCATAGCTATTACCAGCAGACGTCATTATTTTATGCGCGGTCAAGTATTGTATTCCCGTCGAACGTCCCGTCGTTAATATCATCGTTAATCGCGCCGTGCGTGCATGTGCATACGTATGCAAGGCATATTCGCATGCAGGCTATTCCAGAAATCGCATTTTTTTCTATCGAGCGGTAGAGATCAGCCAAATTTAAATTGTTGAAGTGTCATTGACCGATTATCCCTTTGTGGCCCTACATCGAGTGCACCGCGTTCGTTTCCTTCCAATCGATCCCACGAGTTGAATTTTCATTTAACAATAACTATAATTAACAATGCACTCGATATAAATATATTATTGCAAATATATAGTGCTGTAAACGTTCAGTAGCCGGTGCTCTGCCAGAGTTCCGGACACTTTTGCGCGGAATTGATCAAATATTAAAATATATAGGGATTTATTAATTATTTCTTAATTGTTATTTCCTCCTTTAATCCTCGTGTATCTTAATATTTGAACAAATCTGCGGCAAGAGTGCCGAAAACTGGCAGAGTGTCGGCTACTGAACATTTCAGTCTATGTAGCTGCATCAGCTAAACACTGAAATATTGAAACAACAGTGAGCTACGTGATACTCACTGATACTCGTGATACTCGCGAAGTAAACGAATCTCTACGGGGATCACAGTTGAGAAAGAAAGTCGGAAGCGATTCAGGTCACAAAGGGTCAGAACTCTAATTAAGCGCAAGTACATAAGTAAGAATATTTTTCTCGACCGATTCAGCGAAATCAAGCTGACTTTCTCCTGATCGAATTGCTCGAGGAGATCGAGGAGGAACAACGGACCTTAACCGATCGCGAGATCTGGAATACCCTGCATACGCGCGCGCGTGAGTGTGTGTGTGTAGGGCTTGATAGCGAAAAATCGTCATCCCACCGTCTTGACGTAGTTGACGGTCTCGGCGGTTGCCTCGGTGAGGGCCCGGCGTAGTCGTGATCGTCGCACCTGCGACAGCGTGCGTGGACAGAGTACGACGCCCTGGGCGCCCTGAGAGCCGGAAGCGGCGCCGGCGGAGGCTGGGCCGGGCGCCGTGGCCGTGGTGGAGGGCGCCGCCGCCGCCGACATCGTCGCCGAGGACGACTTGCACCACCAAGGGAACTGGGCGCGTTATCGATAACACGTGGTTAATATATCAACACCTCTTGCTAGTCGCGACGCTCGTCGCGGTGCACGTGGACGACGAGACAGACAGCACAGGTGCAAGACAGTATATAGACAGACACGTGGACGGACACGGGGTCGGTTGCACCAACGGCACCGCGGCTAACTAACTCTGCCGTTGGCTTTTGTTCCTCGTTCTCTCCGACGTAGCCTTGGCTACGACGCGAGTGGGCAAATTTGACTCGAGTACATTGGCCTCGGCGATGAAGCAATTGGATCTACCACGACTCGTATGAGCAAAGCCTCGGACGGCTAATTCCGTCGAGCTATCGCTCGTTTCATTCTAGATCAGTGTTGGGCACCGATCGATTAAAAGTTTCGCTGACTAAGGCCCGTGTTAATGGTAGTTACTTGCCTCGCATGAGATCTGGGTTTTTCACTTGAATCATATGATATAGTATTTATAATCAAAATTCAACCGAGGAACTTATATACAAGCCTAAAATACTCGGTGAATAATACAATTATTTGTGACTTTATACACATAACGATTGATTTGTGCCCAACATTGTTCTAGATCTTAAGTCTAACCTGTGACACAAGCATAAGGAATATTCCAGTTAACTATGATTATCACCGTTTGGTGAGGATGCAATCGGACTTGAGGGCCAGTTGCACCGACCGTCTTGGTTCGATAATTGTGATCAATTATCTCCTGTCTTCTTTTTAATCGTGACGATAATTACGAGACCCGGGAGGGAAATTTAGTCGAACACGCTTAGCGTGAAATGAGGGGTGACGCGATTGCTTGTAAGGCTTGATCACTTAATCTTAAATACCGCTAAGCTCGGTGGATTTTAATTCCTCTTTAAATACCCCTAGCTTTATCACAATTGCGTGAAATAATTATTACGTAACCGAATGGAGGACCGACTCGATTATTAACTATTTCTTCCAGCCAGTCTCTTTGCTGCTTATTGAAACACAGCGTTCGCCATAACGCCGACGGATGAGAAGTGAGATTTAGTTAACCGCAGAGTTAGCGGTAACCGACGTTGGTGCAACCAGCCCGGAGCTACAACGGACGATTCCTCACTCGCGAGACAACTCGCTGAAGATGTAACTCCTTATCATATCGTAGAGCCTGTCTCTCACTTTCAGTTCGCTCCGACGCTCGCGCGGCTTTCTACCTCTGTCTTTCTAAGCAAGCGGCCGTCATCTACGCTGATTACTACTTCCGAGCTACTGCTAAGTCTAATGATGGTTGAGAATGGTCTACGCGTAATCAACGGAGAGGCAAGTTACTCGCTGCGCGCGAGAAGAGACAATCGGCTGTTTGCGCATTTAATGTAATTTAGTTACAGCGCAGCAGATCGTCCGTTCGGATGGATCAATATAATCAGCGCGACGAGGCGTCCCGAGGGAACGTTCACGCAAACAGACGAGCTCTCACCCCGTCTCCCCACATATCTCCATCGTATGTTCGTTAGTCGCAGGTTAGTTGCCGCCCGGCGAGCACCCACTCGTCCGATAGTCAACGACAAGTCAAGTACAAGATGCGCGGCGAGCAAGCGAATAGAAAGCCCTTATATCTTGGGATCTACTCGATCTTCCCTCGTTACGTCGGCATCTCGAGTGCGAGCCACCTGCACATCTCACTCAACTGGTTTGAAAGGGAATTTGAAAGATTGTTAAGCAAGTCGAGACGCTTGACAAGAATTATTTCGACAAGAATTCATTTGTCTCAATTTCATCATCGATATGCGCGCAACTCGAAGCCCGATGACTGTACTCTCGAGAATTTTAACATCGACTGTGTCTTTCGATTCCAATTTATATGTGTGACTCTGTGATTGAGAATAATAACAGATAGATAAATTGATAGACTAATTGATAAAATATGTGAAAAATGAAAGGTTACGACACGTCGATTTGCCTTGATGAGTTTCACAGCGCATCCAGTTTCCAAGAAGAAAACGTATTTTCTGAGAATTGCTAAGAAACGAGCTTTCCTTTTGAAGACGGGAAGCGTTGCGAAACTCATCGAGGTAAAAAATATTGTAACGTTCCTTTCACTGATTGAACAGTCGACTACTTGCGATTGAACTCGAATGCATTTCGCGAAACTGACATACAGTCAAATGATTAAAGAGGTGCAGCATTTTTCCTCGACGAGTTTCATAACGCATTTCGCATCCAAGAGGACAATGTGCGTTCTGAGAATTAGAATAAGAAACTAATTTTCCTTTCGAGGTGCGTTGCGCAAAACTTATCAAGATAAAAGTGTTGCGATCTTTTATTCATCAACTGCAGCTCTTATTTACTCACTCATTATTTTTTTTAATTCCGTCGAGCTCGATATCGACGAATTATTGATTGCCATTTGTCAGATAATCGCTCGTTAGATTTTATTATTCGCTTCAAAAACGATATTTTCTGAACGATATTGTATCACTGATTACATATCGTAATTACGAGCTCGGGAACTTTTTAAATAAAAATTTATTACTAGAGTCATTTTCCGGAAACGCTAAAACTCTCGAGTGCACATCAATTCCAACTCGTTGCTCGCTTCAAGAAGCAAGCGAGTAATCTCAACACATCGGATTTGCCTCTCCACTGATTTCGTGTAAACCGACCTAAGAGGTTGCTAGACTAAAGATTGAGCGGGTCGGTAGCTTGCTTTGGTCGAGGGATAAAATGAACGAAGAGCGCCGATGAGAGCGCTCAGAAACGCTCGAAACGGGATTGTTGAAGAGTGGAGAGAAGAAGACACAGAGAGCGCGAGAAGAGAGAGAGGGGGAGACAGAGGAGGTGGATGAGGAGAGTAAGAGGATGATGTGCGGATGTGATGCTGAGGAGAGGCCGTTCCGGAGATGGCCGACTGGTTGAGCCGCGTGAGGAAGTCGACAGCGGAAAACACTTTCGCTGAAACCTGGGGATCCTGCCGCGTCGTGCAGATTTACGACGCCGGATTCGGACGGGCTGGATAACGACAGAAACGGATTGGCACCTCTAATCTTATCGTCGGTACGTCGCTTCCGCGGCAGCTGAGCTGTCGCTCGTGCGTGAGAGACGCCGGCCGATTAACTCTTCAGGTGCCGGAAGAGTAAATTTGGTTTCCAGTTAAACCCGACGGTTTAGCTGTTGCACATTGTATCACGGCGGAAATCGAAGCCCCACCAGAATATTAACGATTCAACGAGGTCGCTGTTCGAACAAAAGATACGATTTTACGATACCGAATTGCCCAGTCTTGAACCTGAGCCAATCGAATGGAATCGGACATCGGCGAACTGTCAGCGTGCGATTTACGAAGAAAGCTAACGTGGTAATTAATTTAATGAATGGGCAGAGGACGGGCACAACGACGAAGAAGACACAACCGCCGACATTCTACCCCGACTCGCAATTGGAAACATCGGGCATTCATCGAATCGTATTCGCGAGGGATCGTCCCTCGTGTGTTTTTCCGAGGGTCGCAACCACCGTCGAGAAAAAGAGAAAAAGATCGAATCGCCTTCTCACCACGATTTCAAGCGCTTTTTTCGAAACTATGAACGTGACCGATCAATTTTGGAGGTAATGGAGCTCAACATGCGATTATACACGTTCTTGTGGATGAACGAAATCGCCCTTTCGAAAGGAATCATTGATCCGCAAGGTAATTCTCATTATATCTCGTTATCCACGAGTATTCAAGGTGAGAAGTGGTCTGCGCTCAAGTGTTTTATTGTGCGATCACAATAAAACACAACAAGGAGTACCATCGATAACATAACAGATTAGATAAATACTACCTTCAGAGAAGAAGAATGAATCTCAAAGAGTAAAAGCGAGAGAGCCAAATTTAACTCCATTTTGCGGCATTCGAAATCTTAGATTATTTTTTGATAAAATTGTAGCCATTCATGAGTAAGTTAAAGATATATAAATATCAAAGTGATGCGCCTCACCATCTGAAAGACTTTTGTTGTAAGAAATGGGGTGTGAAAGTCTTTATCAATAAAATAATCCGTATTATTTTATTAATAAAAACTTTTATCTCTACTATTTCTTAACATTTCCTAACAATTCGTTTCCTGTAAGAGTACTAATTTATATTATTTATATTTATTTTGACAGAATACGTATCTTTTTGGGTCATTTTCTCCCAAACAGTGAGGCGCATTATTTTGATACTTATATATCTTTAACCTACTTATGAATAGTTATAATTTTATTAAAAAATAACTTAAGATATCGAATGTCACAAAATAGCCGAAAGCTTATGAGAGCTTGGCCGTTCTATTTACAAACAAACAACTGACAAGAACATGTGAAAACTAATGCAATGAGCAATGCTTTATGTGTTATTCTCGTAGCACCTTTCACGCTTTTCTTGAGGCACTATGTTTTTCTTTTTACTATTTCTTTTTCGCAAAGAGCGTTCGCGGTACACTCTCAGAGAGCGATGAAATATCACCGCTAATTCAAAACTCCCTCCATTTACCGACGTCTTAACGCAAGGCGCGGATTAATGCGCCTAATAACCGCGTCTGGAACGACGGAACCAGGACATTGATCAAGTTTCCCCTCGCTTAATTAGCCACGCCTGGCTAATTATAACCGTCCACTCACTTTTCGACGGAGTTTGGGCAATTCGTCATGAAATTATAGGAGTAGCGCAACGAATTTTCTACTAGTGAGATCGCGAACGGAGGAAGAGAGACCTTCCGATTAATCGGCCGGAGTCATTGACAAAATCGAGTTATGGCAGACGTTAACCCAAGTCGGAATTTTAGTTCTACATTAACCCAAATTCTGTCGAACTTGAAGGATCAATGAAGAATATTGAGATGCAAGCTGTTGAGAGAGATCTACCTTAATAATACAAATAGATACTTATTTTTCCGTTTACTTCATTTGGAGAAAATTGTGTAGCAAAAAAATTGCAACAGAATTTTTATAATTTTCGATCATACTGAATTATAACCGAAATTACTATATTTGTTTAA